AAAAGTGTAGTTTAACAAACCCAATATAGGTTAACACTTTTTCGTTAGTTATTTAACACCTTTCGAACTTCCTGATGGACTAAACATCACTGATTAGGATGATGATGAAGAATTTGAATTTCGATAACTTGTACATAAATCTGTAGCACTGGATGGTAATGTAAGACTGTTAAGATCACTGGCTCGTTCAACAAGTTGTATAACCATACCCATTTCAACATGCCATTCTAAATGACAATGTACAAGCCATGCACCAGGATTGTCAGCATAGAATCGTATTGTCATCCATCTTTTAGTATGAAAAAGAAGTTAGAATGATGAGAGAATGATGCATAAAAGAAATTTTGGATCTTCTGAATATAGGTGAACAACTTTTGCTGAATATATCAGCAGAGTAGATTCTGACTATACTACAGAAGATCAGGAAATTTAGTAAGATAATTTACCCGCCCGGTGATACCGTCGCGGTATCGCGAAATGGTGGATTAACTAAGTTAAAACTGGTTGTATTTGGCGTAGTGCCAAGACCTCTTCCAACAATATAAAAAGAGTGCCCGTGCTATATGAATAAAAAAAGGTATAATTAGTAATTTATCTAGACGATAAAATAAATAAGTAAAAATGCATACCAGATGGAAAGGGTGAGTACCACCATTAGAGTTAAGAAAATTCAGTTCAACGCCACCATTAGCAGTATTATAAGCGTATGCATTTTGAGCTGTTGGCAAGTTTTGTGCGCTAACACCAGATCTCAGTTGCATTATTGTAGGATTAGTATAATTCGGGGTAAAGCTACTGTTATTAATATAGAATATACCAAGGCCTGCTGCGTCAGGACCGAAAGTAAGATTATATGAAAATTGACTAGAGCTAGAGATATTTGTTGGTGGAGTGCTAGCAACGTATGGTACTAAACTAGAATCTGGAACATCATCACAGGTGACTTGACCAACATCTGGCCACTCGTGTGAAGTTGGAATAGAATTATCAGCACCAACATAATGTAATATTCCGGTTGCATTCCAATTAATGGAAGAATTATAATTTATAGTTTGATTTAAAGTCGTGGCATTTCCCCTGACTATACAAGCTTGGGTTATACTAGCGCGAATAAAGTAGTTTCCTACAGGTTGTGAAGCATTTAAAACTACAGAGTAACGTTGTGCAACATTAATCGGAATCTTTTGAATTGTGACTGGTTTGATGCTGAAAAAGGATTTTATGTTATTTAAAAGTTGCTGAGTCACCACAAATATATATATATATATATATAATATATATAATATATATATATTTATATATTTATATTATATATTACGTATAAATAAATAAATATTACGTATAAAACATTATAAAACATTTACCTTATTCCGTCAACTTCAATAAGGGTCAATGAATGGTTATCAATTGAGAAATGGAAGTGGCTGTCGGCACTTGTATTTATAATACGGAAACGGTATCTTTTACCACTTTGGACAACATAGGTTGGAGGTGTCACACTTGAATTGCATGATAAACCTTGGGCGGCAGCGGAGCTACAATTATATTGACCAATGCCACCTATAAGTGCAGAATCAGCAATGGGCTATAGTTTATATAATATATGTAATGAACTACTGTATTTAACATTAATATGAACATTTCTAAATCAAATGACATAAAACTCATACTTACGTTAAATCCCTTATATGTTGGAGCCATTTTGATAGCCAATAATTCTTCTGTAGTATTATGATACCATTCGGATATGGTAACTACATATTCGAAATCGTAGAGGTTCAAAAAAGGATCGTTAGGATCCTGAACGATAATCGGACCATTCATACCATCCACATACTAAGAAGTTTAACAATACTATTAGCATATATGTATGATGTGTATAATATATATAGTATTTATAATCCGTAATATATGTACAATATGCATATACACAATATACTATATATATATATGTATAATATAATATATTATACATATATATATATATATGCATATATATATATATATGTATATTGTATATATTATATATATGCGTGTAAGATACAGTGGGGGGGGTGGAAAAGTGAAAGATTGCATATGAATTGATCTGTCACTTTACTCCTGTACATTCCACTTTGCTTATTACTTTATATACAGAACAAGTCATGCATACCTGCGCAACGTAATGAGAGTGATACCAATATGTCCCAGCCTGGTCTACAGTGTAATTATATATGAAGCTACCGCCATTAGGTATTGGACATTGTGTCACTCCAGGAACCCTGTTAAATTTTAAATTTGGTTAGAAAATACAAAGTTTGAAAGAAAATACAGTTCCCTGACGACTTACCCATCGAACCAGTTAGTTCCTTTTTGAACAATTCCATGAGAATGAATTGAAGTTGGTTCACCCAATTGATTTGTGACATTAATCACGATCTGATCTCCTTTATTGGCGATAATCATTGGCCCAGGATACTGACCTGATATATAATAACGATAAAGAATGAATTAATTAATTAAATGCCTAAAATAAACTTCCGTTTTTATTCGATTTTTTTTTACATTATTAATTCACACCATTAACCGTCCAGACAACACGAGAGACTCCATCCGGTGAGAGAGAAGTTTTATATAAATGAAAATCATATTCATGAACTGTAGGTTGTGTAGTTGCAGGTTGAGGTGTGAATGCTTGAAAAAGGTTTGTATTAACTTCTGCTCGTTTTTGGATAACTCGTTTTGAGGGAACGGCTATTACTAATGAAATTGTACATAGTGCAATATAGAGAATCAATATCTTCTTTATAATAGCCATTTTTTAAATATTTTTAGAAGATAAATGTGGTTCAAAACGGAAAAAATAAGAACGTTTAAAAAACGACAAAATTTCAATAGCATCGCGACTCATGGAGTCTTATATATATATTTTCAAACAATGGTTGCATTTCCTATAAAATGAATTTATGTACAAAGTTTAAATGCTATTCCGTGATTTATTGATATTAGATTATAAAAAAAAAACTTTTTATTTTATTACTCGTTAAAATTAAAAAACGTATTGTTTACCCGTTTATAAAAGAAGGGTATAATGTGGGTAACACGAAGTTTAATGCTACACTTTCTAAATATAAAAGAAGGTACACAAACAAAGACATTAAATTTGATTAACATGTCACCAATTAATTATAATTTTATTCTGGATTATTTTTATAGTTTCTTTAAACCGACCTCCGATATATCAAACTTAGTAACAGATCTGCAAACAGGGAGTCTCCGAATAATCGAACCAAATAGCGTTACTTTCGTTCCTTAATTCTGATACATATCAGATATACAGTATATGCGCTACGCTTTCCACTCTTTGTATGCCCACTAAATTGCCGTTAAGAGGTTTATATATGTATGGAATAGTACGACGATAAAACAATGATTGAAAAAAAAAATCTTACTTTACTTCCCTCTCTTTAAATTACTCAATTTTGTAAATTTCCGAGGGAAAGAGGAATTCGAGATTTACAACGAATATCGTTATGGAGAACCAAACAAAAGAATTTATTCATATTTATTTTTAGCGCAAAAGGTGTTACCATTTTGTATTTCTTGGGCTGAAATGGTCTAATTTAAATTTACAATCTTGTTAATTATTTCCTGATACTACAAAACTTTGCATACCTGATACCTGATATGTACGTACGTACATCGTATGTGCGTACCCTTTATCCCTGGAGAGATATCGCCGTAGTGCTTTACATATGACATATGTAACCTTTGCGTAGAATATTACAATCTCCAAACAGTTACCAAAATAGTACTACTGATTCTTTTCTAGGTATAGTCTCATGCATAACGTATCATAATAAAATTTATTAATAGTGTTCAGCCGAAGTGCATTCGCATTTTAGAATAATTCGATCATATGCGAATCATGTCATTGCTTTTTTAAAGTTCTCAGATTTGGTTGATTACTTGATTGCATTTTAACTTCTCAAATTATATACATTGTTGATGATGTAAAATTTATGGGAGCCGTGTAAAAAAAAGTTAACCTAAATCTCAAAAAACCGAATTTTTTAAGTTACTAAATTCGGCATCTAATAAATTTTTTTTTTTTTGAAAAAAGAAACTTACCCCTGTACACAGCGTTAACGTTATGCGGAGGTCTGTTTTCCTTATCAATTATTATTGTAATGAAACAATCTTTGAAGCAGTTTCACGATAACTCTATTTTGTTAATTTTATAAAGCTTACTGTTAAAGTTAATTAATTGGTTTACATTTATCATTTATCGTTATTATTTATCATAATACAAATTAACGAATAAAATACAAAACTCGTAAAATGAATTTTCCGTAACACTACTATAAAACATTTATTTTTATTATTTTTGAAAAGATTATTAATGGTACATAAATAATAAATAATAATTGTCATCAAAACATTTTCACAGAGAATCTGTGTTCGAGTAAAGTGAGTAAATCATCCAAATTGTATTCTCCCTAAAAAATTGCAAAAAAAACTTTAATTCGCCAAGACAGTCATGAGGTGTAGCTCCGATGATATGATATGGGGTCGGAGTGTAGAAACCTAAGCTCAGACTATATAGGTAATCATTGAAACCGATATATATCTATTAAGTTTAATAGTTGACCAATCAATGTTATTATTAAGCCTTGTGACCTTTCCTAAATTGATTTATGATCGAAAAAAAATCATACGATTATGACAAGTCATTAAAAAAAGACTTACCATATCGGAAGATATCGAATACTTTAAAAAAATATTTTGACAATATGACTGCACCGTTTTATTTTAATAGACTAGGAATAGGTATTTCATTGAAGCGCCCTGGATCATAATAAATAGTATTCTTATTATACGTATATATCGTGAAAACATTATCCCTTTCTTACGCCATAGTCCCCCTACTTTTTGCGTTTCATATCGTTATATTCTAACACATGACCGATCAAATTATACCTTGATTGACCAATCAATATGCAATGGCATATTTTTTTGGTTAATAGTTCCTTTAATACTGATATTGTTAAATGAGTGTCGCCAAGCAAAAACCTGTAATTTCGATTTTTTGGTTAATAGTTCCTTTGATTATATAGTACAGATATTGTTAAATGAGTGCCGCCAAGCGAAAACCTGCAATTTCGCAATTTCGATTTTTTTGGTTAATAGTTCCTTTGATTATACAGTACAGATATTGCTAAATGAGTGTCGCCAAGCGAAACCCGCAATTTCGACTTCCGATTACTGATAATTTTAAATTAAGCACAACATATATCATATGGTGTGTTAATCGGAGTTTGATCTGTAAGATTAATTCTCAATTCCTGGTTTTCGTTTTCATTTGGTGACACTCAAATAATACATAACCGGAACTTGTTATGCGGAAGCTAACAGGCAGGTATCATGTGATATTATTGATAAATCGCTTCAGACCTTTAGTCATATGACTGCAACTGTAGATTGTCAGGTAGCTCAACTCGAAGTGAAATACCTCACACTAACGACTTTAAAAATACTATATATTTTGCGAATTATTTCACACAGGAGAAATTATTTCTTATTGGCGAAATATATTTTCGGACTTTGGAAAATAGTGTAGCCCGAAATAATAGGATTATAAAAAATCACTTTTAATTCAACTTTGCTTATAAAATCAAAAAAAATTTTCTTGCGAAACAATAGATTTTTTTGATTAGTTATGCAGAAAAATGTCGAGTTCACATGTTGCCAAATCAGGATAAATAATTTTAATTTCCTTGGTTGGTAATCTTACTTTACATGCAAATTGATTATGCTTAATTCGGATAATAACCCATGCTCACTATTATGGAGTTGAAATGAAACCATTTGCACAGTATACACACTTAGTTTTCGTGTTGAAAATGCGATGTAACCTTTTGATAACGGATTCAAAATATAATATTTTTATTTTGTATAAAGCGCCCATTCTTTGTTTTTTGAAGATCATAAATATATTCACTTTATAAAGTTGCTTATTTAGAACTGTAGAAATAGATGCCTAAATTAGAAAAAAATATATTTAGAATATTTTTGGTCTGTTGAGTAGCCATTTCATGTTTGTAATGCAAATTAATATCAATTAATTATCAATGATTAATGTCATTTTATGAACCACCTTTTCATGAATCATACTATACATGTGTCAGAAGTAAATTAAATGTAAAATACTGTAGATATCCAAAAGGAACACAGAACTATATCCATATATTTTACTATATATATACAATTAGTAACAATAATATTGTATTGTAATTCATAAACAAACTTAAACAAACTTATGTGCAGATATATATTAACTAATACGCCTTATAGCTATCTATTTCTATTTCTATTTTTAGCTAAATCATTTTAATTAAGCTCCAGATTCTAAAAACCCGTTTTGTAAAATTTAAATAACTAGATTCTGGTCAAGATCAACATAATTACGTTTTTTTTATTTTTTTTACGAAATTATTTATACTTATTCGTCGAGAGGAATCTATAAGGTGATAATGAATGATTTTTTTAGCGTTAGAAATAGTACTCGTTTGCTAAATTTATACTATATATAAATATATATATTGTCGGCGGCTCGGTTCATTGCCTTGAAGAATAGATAGGTCTGCGATAGCATATTAGTAAATTTCGCATAAGTCGAGTATAATTTGTAAAATTTTTGGCAGATTTTAAGCATAATGATACATTGATGAGGGCCCAGATGTAGACAAGAGAACAATTTTTAGGTGAATATCAGTGCCGGATGTATTTACTAAAAGAATCCTAAAACACGAGCATGTTTCTCGGAAAAAAGCGGATAGCTAAGCTCGATTATTACAGCTGTTCTCATAAATTTTGGGACATCTGGTAAAAAATTGACCGAATGATTTTAGACCGATTCGATAAGT